CCAGCCGCTGCCGTTCACACCAAGAGGCCTAGGTAAGAGGGGGCAGTGAGAAAAGAATTTAAGAGAAGCTAAAAAATGAAGACGAGTACTTGGTGATTAGCTGGAGGTTAATCACAAAGGAAAGGGCAAGAACGAGGAGGTTTCTGGCCAGGGAGTGCTGGTGTCAGAGGAACAATAAGAAGCCAACGATGGACAGACTCCAGCGGTCTCCATGCCAACACAATCCCCTGGGACCACACTTTCCAGCTTGCCATGAGCCTGACTTCCTGAACTGAGGCCTGCTGGGGGCTAGGGTGGCGTCAGGCGGCCACGCTTGGCTTAAACCTGAACACGCTCCCTCTCGTTTTTCCTGCCTCGACTTGTAACCTGGTGTTTCAGCTCCGGCAGAGCCCACTGAACTCCAGCCTCTCTCTTCACACCCCCCTGTAACTAACCCTTTATTTTATTTCTCTCTGTGAGTCTGCCCTCAGGTCTGGTCCTGAGCTCCTAGGCTTGGGAGTGAGAACTCTCATCCAGGCCCCCTCCAATCCCCTTGGGGTGGCCCTGAGACATTAGAGGACAAAGGGCCATGCAGTGAGTAAAAAACACAGAGTTTTGGGGGAGCAAATATAATCGTAACATTCATATTTAAATGGAAAGAGAAGAAAATCAGCCTGGTGGTAACAGATAAAATGAGATAGGAGGAAGGCTGAAAATTAATCTGGAATGAGACTATTGAGTGTATTTAACTAGGAGATGCAAGAAAAATCTGTATCTGGGAAAGCAGTTTCAGAGTCTGGGATCTCCTGGATGCTTCAGGTCATGTGGGAGTTATGGCAGAATTAGGGGCAGAATACTAGAATTAAGGAAGTCAAAGCATTGCATATATGTATTAGCAAGGGTGTTGAAAATGTAACAGTACAATCAATTTCCACAAAAAGGTGAGCTTGCATGATCCCTCCCAAACCAAGTAAGGGGTGGAGCTGAGCAAGGAGGAGAAGCTGGAGAGGACTGGGAAGAAGACACTTGGGGGGCATGAGAATCAGAAACATGTGAGAGAAAAGGGTCCATCTGCTTCTCCACTTTGGACCTGCACAGGGGATTGGGGGACAGAGGAAGAGATGCAGGGAGTCAAGACACAGACACAGGCAATTCGGTCAGGGCTGAAGGTAAGTTTTAGAAGGCGGAGGCATTAGTAATAAAACAGTGGGGGTCAGTGATCTGGAAGAGCTAGAGATGATGAGGCTGTGACCAAGAGACCTGAGGTAGAATCCAATGGCCTGATTTTTTTTTTTATTTCTGCATACAGAACTGGGGTACAGGCCAGAGGTGCAGGGAGTGAGAGGCTTCACCAACGACAGAGAGGGGAGCAGAACAGGCCAACTGACAAAGAACACTGCTGAGGGGAGCAGCGGGCCAGTCAGGAGAGGTCTGCGGCACCCTGTGGGTCACCTCCGGGGCAGGGATGGAACTCGCTGAAGTGGCTGTGGCCAGCTTGCAGTGCTGAGTCCTAACCTGTTGCTCCACCAGGGAGGAGTGGCCTGATGTTTTAAGAAAACACTGATACCGCTAGAGGGCTTGGGTTGATGTTGCACAATAGAACTTCTTGTTAGGGTGGAAATATTCTATATCTGAACTTTTTGAGGGGAAGGCTGTCCTAAAGGAACTCTGCAGAGTCTTGTGGACCCCACCCCCTACTCCAGTGATTGGAAACTACAACTCCCAGCAGCACCAGGGAGAGAACTGCGAGGACCCAAGGGCGGAGCTAAGCAGGAATTCTGGGACTTCGGGGGATAAATAGGGCGCCATTGCATCTCTCGCTCTCTAGCTCAGGGGAAACGGTTCTCGGGACCTCGTGACTCGGGGCTTTCAGTGAGTTTGTTACCAGCGCTCCAAGTCAGCTGAGCAGGTAAGATATCCCAGTTACTTGGGGTCCCTCTCTCTTTCCCTGGGTTGTTTCCTTTTCATTCCCCCTATTGTAAATAAGCCCATTTCGACCCTTTTGTGTGCGCCTGCAGTCTAACTGAATTTTAAGCATGTGGGTGAGGCCCCACCGACAGGCGGCTCAGTTCACTGGGTGCCCTATCAGTGTCCGATTCAGTAATCCCTAGCTACATGTGGTTACTAAGCACTTGAAATGTGGGTAGTGTGTCTGGGAAAAACACTTAAAGCTAATGGTTACAGAGAGACCCCACACAAGGCAGTGAGTCACAACAGTAACCTATTATTTCAGGGCCTAGAATGCCGCCTGATGGCTAAATGTTGACTATTAACGCCACTGCCATTATCATCAAATATAGCTGATTTGCCATAAATGTGTTAAATGAACATGGTAAGAAGGGACGACAATAGACACAGAGTCATAACTAAAGATGCTATTAAATACACAAGTATTATTATCTATGGCATGGTCTCAGCATTTCTCATCTATAGAGAAATGTTTTTTGTTGATTGAGAAATGTTTTTCCTAACGGAAAGCAGAAATGCAGCATAACAGGTACCAGGAGACAGAAGCTAGGGAGGGGTGAGCCAAGGACGCCTGAAGGGGGTAAGGAGAGGCAAGGCCAGGGGCCTCAACTTACAGAAGAGGAGTCTGCGGGGCCAAAGGAAGAGGCTTCAGAAAGTCTAGCTGAAGAGGATGGCGCAAGTGGATTTTCCCCCTAAAGGGCCCCCGCACCCCCATGGCAGTCCCCACGCTGGAGCAGGCAGGGGTGACAGAGGGGAGGCGCAGGACATCTGAGGACACAAGCAGGCTCGGCCGGAGCGCACCTCTGGGTGTCGAGGGGGCTTCTGTTTACTTTCAGAGGGGCTCTTGATGCCGCCAGCTCTCCACTGAGGAGGTGAAAAGGCCAGAAGTAGGGGACTCCGGGGTTTTTCCATGACTGGGCCTGAGGTGAATGGGTCACTCTTCGTCTCTTTCCCAAAGTCCCCGGGGCAGGGCCTCGGAAACGTCATTTCTTTGAAAGGGTCCCGTCCAGGGGGGTGTGTTGCGGTCACCCGCTGATCTGTCAGGGGCAGGGGGTCCCTTGAAGGGACCAGCAACTTTAACAGGTCGGATTGGAAGACAGCTCTAGCTTGGGAAGGATCCCGATGGCATTCCTGTGTGTGGTGCTGAATAATAAGGCCTTAAAGAAAAGGACCAGACCCTGTCGGCCAGGGAGTGGCCTTGCTCAGGCTGGACACGTGGGTCAGGCTGGTGCCTTGGGCATCAAGCACCTGGCAAACAGCTTTCTGGCGGCTGCTTTGCAGCTGAGAGAGCTGCTTCTTGCCCGGTGGATTCCATCTCGCCTCAGTCTGAGGAACTCAATGATGGCTTCCCACTGGCCTCCCCGGCCTGGAAGCTCTGCTCCAGCTGGGTCTCTTCTGCGCGGATTCGCTTTGATTTGGCCTGGTCAGGTCACCTTCCTTCAGGCCCTGAGTCTGCATCTGGGTCTTCAATGAGGACAGCTTCTGGGTCTGGTTCTGGCATTGCTGCCATGTGTCGACCTGAGTGGGCCTGTTTCTGAGCTCCAGCTCTTGCAGACTGCTCATGTCCACGTCGAGGTAGTTTTGTGATTTCTGGAGATGTCATTAGCGTTCTCCTGGTGGCCTCTTCTTCCTCTCTAGCCTCTCATTCCAGTGCGTATTTCTCTCTCTTTAGCCAGGCAACCTCCTGGCATACATCACTCCGTTCCTTCACACCACTGACCACCCTGAGGCAGGGTTACTGGAACTTTCTGGTATGGGAACACCTCTTCCTGAGTGTGGGACCCTGTCAGTGATAGGATTTGGCGGGGGGGGGGGGAGGGGCTGGCACTTTCACTGCTGATGAAGTACCCAGCTAATGTAAACTGGTCTTTGCTTAATCTCCCCATTTCCTGGTACCAGCCAGGGCCAAAATGAGTGCTGGAAGGTTCTGGACTAGGCCAACATGCATGAAGATCTTTTTCACCCCCTGGCCACTCACCCAGGCTCTGTCTAGGTCCCGTTCAGCCTTCGGGAGCCCTGGTCAAACCGCACTGCCTGTCCCCGACAGCTGGCCGTGGCTGTGTGTACTTGATGAGGACACGAGGTTCCGGTGCCATCTGGGCTGCTGGGAAAATGTGGCGCACAGTGGCTCTCGGGGGTGGGCTGGCTCCCGAACAGGCCTGGCCTCCGGAACACTGTGCCCTGTCCTTTGGAGGGGGCATGAGGAGTGGGGGCAGTATGGAAGACACAGGAGACACAGGTTCCTCCACAAGGGCATGGTACGCTGAGAGCATCACCTGAGGAAACCCTTCTGTCCAGGTCCTGTCTGTGCTGTCAGGAGGCAGGCAGGAGTTCAGTGGACAGCTGGACATTATCTCCAGAGAGCAAGCCATGTACGAGCAGACCCTGCATGCATCTGTAGACAGCAGCGAGGCCATCACAATGCTGCTGGTGTCCTGGAATTAGGAGGTGGCATCTTCCAGGGCAGACTGCTCAGGGGACTTCACGGCCACTCGTTGTCTCTGGCAGCAGAGAAACCCTGTTTGTCCAAGAACCCCCCACCATCTGGGTCAGCAATGTTCCACCTCTTCCCAACAACATCTGCAAGCCCACACTTCTTGGAAAAGACATGGCTCGCACTCTGCCCGTGTGTCGCATCTGCCTGAGGGGAAGCCGACTTGACAGCTTCTGGTGGGGATCTGCTGGGCAGGGGTCAGTGTGGCAGCCATCTCCCAGGGGAAGCGCCTAGGACTGACTAGGGGCATGAACATTATCAGCATCAAACACTATTGGCAAATAATGCGATTCAGCACACAAGTCTCAAAACACCTTAGCCCACTGGACGACATTCTCTGAATAGTGATAAATGGGAGTGTTTGCAGAGGATAAGAATGCTCCAAATAGCAAACTTTTCTAATTTAGAAAAGTCAACACGAACAGATTGGTATTCACTTTGTGTGGAAAGAGTTTTAAGTGAAAAAGGGAGCTTAGTTACAGAACAACAATCAAAGAAATACTCAGGAGGGGGGGAGAGCAATTACGGCGAGCTTTTACTTTAATCTTATTAGACTTGCCTTGGTTTTTTCAAAATTAGCTTCTTCAGTCATGTGCACAGCTTGCTTCACCTGCTCATAAGCACTCGCTTCTCTCTGCTGCACATCTGTCAGGCTGCTCCTTACGCAAACTAGCGCAGACATTAAGTCATCTCTCTCTCTGTCAGCACAAAAAGAACATTCACAGCAAGAAAGGCTCAAATGATTATGTATTTTTTAATCAGGAAGAAAAATGCATTTATATATATATATACTATATATATATATACACTATATATATTTACATATATATTCATATATAGTATATATATACTCTTATAGTGTATATATATATACTCATATGTATAGTATATATAACTATATACAGTCATACATATAACATGTATACACTCATATATATATATTTACTATATACTCATATATATATACATACATATACATACATATACACACACACACACTGTAAGAGTGTAAGTCAAATAAATAGGGAGAGGGAGAGAGAAGTGGGGGGAAAGCAATAAAGAAGAAAAAAATTCTAGCTCAAAGTAGAGGTAAATGTGTTGAGAAAGGGGTACTGAGGTTTGGCCTATGCTGCTGATTCTCTTATTAAACAAATATATCCTTTGCCCCTTCTCTTCAGTTCAATTCTTTCATCTCCTGGGGAATAGAGTTCTTCTTTCCATGGGTTAAACTGTTGAATTACTCAAATGCCCACAATTTAACATAATGCTCACAATTTCACAAAACCCACTGGGTTGGATGATTGTCTGCCTCAGCTCTACGCAGGCATTCTTCGAGGGAGCCTCAGCAGAGCTGTTTCTCGGGGCCTGAGTGAGCCAAATGCTAGACTTCTGTGGCATGGAAGAGCGAGTCTCCGTGCCGCCGGCAGGTGCATGGTGGCCGCCCACAGCTGACCCTGGTGAGCAGGGCCCTCGGCGGCCACAGCCAGCTTGCCCTGCAGCTGAGCACTGGACGCCAGTCTCTGGTCAGCAAGGGCCAGCTGGCCATGTGCCGTCCTTTAAACCTTCTCTCTCTCTCCCCCTTTTCTCAGTCCCTGTGTAAATAAATCTCATTACTGCTGACTCTCACCATGTATCTACTTTTAGGTTGTGTCCTGTGTTGTCAAGCATACAGGATACAGGTTAGGACACACCGACTGGGTCAACCGGTTTCCCCGGAGTTTGATCCATTTCTAAAAGATTATAGAATATTTGGGACTTATCCAAAGGATAAAGTGACCCAAAATAAAGTGGCTGGGGCCCCCTGGTGCTGTAAGGGGTTAAGTGTCAGTACCATGAAGCCATCTGCAGCCAGTAAAGCACGTGACCCACATGGCACAGGAGGGCCTCCTGTCTCACTGCTGCTCCCCTCAGAGTGCATTTCAGTAGATCTGCCTGTTCTGCTCCAACTTTCTCGCTGGCTAATCTTCTCACACCCCCTCACCCCCACAGCTCTGGCCTACACCCCAGCTCTTATATGCATAAATAAATAAATCTTTAAAAAAAAAAAGCAGTGGTAATCTTTCTACACACAAAGAAAAGAAAATGTAATACTGAACTATTAACTATGTTATTTTACTCCATACTTTTTAGAAGTTCTAACTGCTTGCAATTTCCATTTCATTGCCAAATTCTAAATTATCAGAAAGGACCAACTATGATTTTTAAAATTTTAATAAACTTTAAGGAATAATAATTTAAAAAAATTATAAACTCTGAGTCTGAAAAGCTTTCAGCATTAAACAATGGCATTAAAATACATCTGAGAAATAAAACAATTTTTAAAATTTGTGGTATTTGGAAAGCAATCATGTTTTAAGAAACATATAACATTGGACAAAGCTACAATTATTAGCAGTTTCATAAAACTGTAAAAAAAACCACTACAAAATTCATGGGGGCATAGAGCTCTTCATTTTAGAATGTTATGGTTTGTTTTAAATTGAGAAAGGTTTTTGTTGTTTCACAGGTGATGAATAAAAGGAGTTAGTAATTTTGATTGAATATACTCAATGATTATATGAAAAAGTAGATCAAAGCAAGACTAATTAGTCTACTTAAATAAAATGTAAATTAAATACAAACAAAACTGAATTTGTATTTCAAAAAAAGGTCTTTAACATAAAAGGGGACTATCTTTGGTAAGGAAAGCAATCCAACTAAAACTTGTGATTCTGGAAGAAATTTAAAATACACTCTTACCGATAAGTAAATAGGTATAGAACTTCCCTAAAGTTCTAAGACCTGCTAAAAAGCAAACGTTCAGTGATTACCTTGTCTATTCCTGATAGTATGCTATCATCAAAGTCAAAGTTTCAAATAAAACCCAATAACAAAAAGGCTCCGTGTTTATAATTATGCTGATAGATTATAACAAGATCAAAATTAACAAATTTGCTTCTTATGGGAGACATATTTAATCCCCTTCATCTCATCTCAGTCCATATCAATGAAATAAATGACAAAAGAAAAATGAAGAAATAGACTCAAGCATGTATCCACAGTACTAATAGTATTTTAAAAACTTAGTGCAAAAAGGAATGAGAAAAATCCATGAATGTTCTCAGCCAAATATTTAAAATAAGGAAGAGAGAAAACTGGTCTGATATGTATGCATGAGCTTCATCTTGAAAAACAGAGTGCTTAAGAAATGTTTTTCGTTCCTAAGTTCCATACTTCTTTCCACTACAGTTTTTTTTTTAAAAAAGATTTATTTGTGCATACAGAACTGGGGTACAGGCCAGAGGCTCAGGGGCGGTGAGAGGCTTCACCAGAGACAGAGTGGGGAGCAGAACAGGCCGACTGACGAAGTACACTGCTGAGGGGAGCAGCGGGCGGGTCAGGAGAGGTCTGCCGTGCCCTGTGGTCACCTCCGGGGCAGGCGGGGATCGAACTCATGCAGAGGTAGCTTTAGCTTCTTAGTGCTGTGCTTTAACCTGCTGCGCCACCAGGGAGGAGCCTCCACTACCAGTTTTTTTTAAGTATTTTTAGGTATGTTAATAAACAGTATCAGTGCCACTGTATTAAAGGAAAGTCTAGAAAGCTGAGTACAACATTTCCTTATTCCTCATTTCTGGGAAGTTTCTAATAGTCTTTCAAAAATCAACAATAAAAGTAAATAAACAAGCCAGCCCCAAATCAGTAGCTAAACTACAGTGCTAGTGTTCTAGGCCCAGACTGGGCCCCTTACCCTCCAGGCAATCCTAGTTATAGCTGAACCAGGCAGTGCTTTTTAGAGACTCAAGCATGAGGGAGCCAGTTTGGGAAAGGAGAATATACATTGGTCCCAACAGGACTAGCAGAAGATACTTAAAGGGTATGTGCACCAGGCAGGAAGGAAAAGGGGAGCTTGTTCGGGTGGGTCTAGACCCATGACTGTGCAGACACGTTACATTCCAATATGCAGTTGGGCTCTCAGCTTTCTCCCTCCAGTAAATTATGAGATAATCATTAGTCAGGATCTGATGCTTTTAATCTATCATGACGCCCATGGTCAGAGTGGTTATGCTGAATTGCTTGGAGCGAAGTTGTCAATCTGTGACTTGGTCCAACTGTTCAAAAAGCAACTATTACCTAAGTTGTCTCACCAGAGTAATACAGTAGAAATCATTTCTCCTTTCTGAAAAGGAGAAACTTCTCCAATACAGTATGAGCTACTGAAAGGAATTTAACAAAAATCAGTAATCTATTGATACCACTCAAAAGTATGTATACAATAAGCAAGAAAAAGTTACAAGTCTAAAATGATGTGGTTACCCTTTGTCACAGTGCAGGAGAAAATCCCTCATCTCGTGGGCTTGTCTTAGGCTGAACAAGTAATGAAAATAGCATCAGATGGGTCAGCAAAGGGGAAAAAATGTCATAATATGCCAGGATGGGGTAGTTAAAATTATTATGCTGTACCTGATTTTATAACTCCTAAAGCATAAATCCTGAGACATTACAGAGAGGGGAGGGAGACACATCACAAGACAAGGAGCAGGTAATCTCATTTTTACTCAGAGAAGAGATCCGAGAACTTAAAATGGGGGCCAGTCACTTTATGATGGGAAAAGCCCGAAGACGTGGATCAGGGAAGAACAAAAGCCTGGTGGATGGCAATCTCTTCTTCAATTAGGGAAGGACAAAGTACAGGGAAGCATGAGTTTCTATTTAGCCTCCAAGGTGTTCATTGCTCTCAACTCAAAATAATCTATATTCTTCAAGTAACAACAAACGTTTCTTCTAGAAGCGCAAGCATAGGGCTACCATTGGTTTCCCATATCTAAGTGACAAGTATTCAAAAAAAAACTACTCTGAACATCTGGAAAAAGTCTATCTGACTCTTTGAGAGAACAACCTCTCCTCGCAGGTGGCAGAAATTACCTGTTGTAGCTTTAAGAAAACGACAGTGAAGGGACTTTTTATTTAAAAATCCATCTTATTTGAAACTTAACTTTAACCTCATGTGATTTATCGTGGGGATAAAGGAACACCTCTCTTGAAAAACACACTTCCATGTCCCCAAACACCCCTACTTACTTCGTCAACCTTTCAATGGTCTGCATGTGAACATTATTATGGGTTTTGGAAATAACGGCATCATGTTGAGCGCATTGCAAACACAGGCCACCAACCGAGTTAGGAGTATTAGCAGCAAGAAGAGACTCTTTATGCTTTAGTTGCTCTTTAAGATCTTCACATTTTTTCTGATACTCAGCTAAGTCTTTCCTAAAAGAAAGGAGAAGTTTCAGCAAATGGCAAAGTAAAAGTACACTGCTTTCAAATATATCACCGCCGTGAAACCTACTACGATCATTGTGACAGCAATAACCACTACCTAGTAAATACTAACTTACTCTATGAGGTGCTTCCCATATAATATCTTATTAATGCTTATCACAGCCCAGAAATGTAGTATGATTATTTTAATTTACACTTAGAATATAGTGGGGCTTGATGATATTACATAATTAGAACAGACAGATCACCTCCATTTTGCAACCAAAACTACTCTAGATTAAAAACTAGGGATAAATGAAATTATACTCCGAATACTCTTTGGTCTCTCTTCCTGTACCCCTCATTGTGGTTGACCAATCACTTGCTCCTGGAAACTTAGAAAACTGGTTGTGTTACAGCCTAATAAAAATTCTCTGTGTTCTTTTGAAGTTAATAGTGACAGCAGAAACTCAACAGCTGCTGATCGCTGAGGAAATGACCTACTGGGAAAGTCAAACACTTTAACTGAGGTTCCTAAACTTCCAGGCACCTCCTTGGACCTGGAAATGCAAAGCCCCAGCTTTCCCTCACATTCCTTCCCTCCCCCGCATTATATAATCTCCTCTTCCATTATATAGTTACAGTACTCCTGCCTTGCAGGGAAATGGCTTCACTACGGTGCTAGCTCAATTGTGGACTCCCTCAGTGGCCATGTTGAACCACTCACAAAGACATTCTTATGCTTCATAGGTTGGCTTTCTGGACATGAGTGAAAGACTAGGTTTGGTTGTTTACATGAGACTAAGTTCTTGTAAGATGGTAACACAGATTGTAACAGAAGAATCTTCACACAACGGGGAGGTTCCAGGTTCCCTACCCCACCTAGTGAGGGGCAAAGCTGAGCAGCCAGGTGTAGATTTGGGGAGATGCATGAAGCAGAGAGATGTGGATGAGGGTGCACCTGCTTCTCAGGTGTGGACATGCACCAGCGACGTGGGACACATGGAAGAGACCCAGGGAGTTGACATGTAGAGACACTTGAAAGAGACATGAGTGACAGACAGGTGGGAAAACTAAGAAAGGTGGCCTTCACCTTGATTTTATTTCTATTTTGTTGCTTTCACCCCAACTGCGTGGCCTCTTTTGACACTTTCCTTCCAGAAGGGATCTTAATGTTGGGCCTGAGTAGTCTCGCTACTTGGCTGGGCATTGATGCTTGAGGGGAACTGTGTGTGTTTCATCAGGAAACATGTCCTCTCTCTTCTTCCCTACCTATGCACAATCAGTCCATTAAAGATATACACACTAAAAGCACACTTTGTCTTTATGTAGTGGGTGACAGAACCTCTTTTTAAAAAGTTCATGGGTCTCAGGGTGCCTCTCATTCTGCTCAATAACAAGTTAATTTGCCTATGACCCATGCTTTCTTTGTGTAGGATGTTGTCTACATTACATTGCCCACAGAACAAAACTATAAATATTGTCCAAATATAAATATTTAACTAAAGCATGGAGCAATAATATATAATATCCTTGAATCGAGGGACGTTACAAACCCCTTAAAATCTGGAAAGCGCACTTAAAAGATCAGATGTAGAACATACATCTTATCCATGACTGATTTACTATGGCCTGCTTTTCTTCAGAACAAAAACATTTTAAAAATTATATAATCACAAAGTTTTTACAATGAATCATTTTAAAAGAGAGTGAGTTATAGAAAGTGTAGGGGTTCAAAAGAAATCATACTATATTCGTCTGGGTTTTTTTTGGGCTGAGAGAGTAATGAAAATACCATCACATGAATTAGCAAAGAAAAAAACAATAATGATGCTTTGCTAACTTGTAGAAAATTTTCAGACTGCATATAAAATATCATCAAATAATTCTTATATTGAATAAAATTATATTGAACTCTTGTATTAAAATAATGCATTTCAACAAACATTCAAAGATCGTTATACTTTTGCTTTGACTTTAAATGGATAATAATATTTTACCTCAAAAACCTCATTTGAGAATCCAGGATTTCACTCCTTTCTTCATAAATAAGTTTTAGCTTCTCCTTTACAAAAGAAAAAAATAAATATTTTTTTCAAACCTTGTTTTTACTAGCAAATTTTAATTATTTTTATTAACCTCAATATGTTTTTAACCAAGAGAAAAAATAGTGTCTATTTTCTCATAATACATAACATGTCACACTGTTCCATAATGCACCCCAAATTTTCTATTTTTACTAAGTGAGTTCCTGCAGAGGACTACTGAGTCATAAAGTAGGGATTACTGACCATTTTTTTTCAAAATTTCATACATCAGGTTTTTATTTTTAAAGTGTAACTCTAGGGAAAGCCAATTACAACGTGTAAGGTCCATGTGGGCAAGGATCAAACCTTACTGGAGTCTCCCAAAGTGATCGCTGGACATTTGTCAAAATATATATGGATGAATGATAAAGGGAAAGTTATAAATCACATGATATTAGATATGCTATCCACAAGTTTCTGCTGGTATCTAAATATTCTTTCACTCAACGAGTACTTATTTGATTTTGAAGATGATGATGCCGCTAACCTCAAGGTGTTTATAGTTTAGGTAAGAACAGGAAGGTAGATGAGCAAGTCCAGTGACATATGATTACTGTAGTGAGCTCTGCCCCAGACAAAATGAAATCAGAGCTTAAATCACTCCAACGTATGGAAGCAGGGAGACCAGTCTAAAAGGCTTTATTGTTACAGCAATTTCCCAGAGATATCAGACGGCACTCTGAGAATTGGAGAGAGAGATTTGCTTATCACACAGGTGGGCTCGGTGGGATCAGTCCCAAAGGCTGAGCCCCGAGTCACAGGAATGGTCAGGTTCTACACAGGTTGTCTGAGGAACCTTGTCGCCGCATGCATCACAGCATACGCATTCTGTATTGTTTGGGAAGCGGTCAGGGTAGCCATGGCTACTAGTGTGGACAAGCAGTAGCCTGCAGGGACTTTCTGCTCCAGCGAGCAGCAGAATCCAAGCAACAGACTCCCCCAAGCAGCGGGCCTGGGAAAGGAGCAGAATCTGAGCAGACCTGGGAAACTCTGCTTCGTTATAAACCTTCATTACAATATAGCCCCTTTCACAAGGAGTTAAGTCTCAACACTATGTAGCTATCACCAACCACTGCAGCATGAGATCAATCCCAGCTAGGGAGCTGACCCACATGGCACAGCAGACCTTCCCTGTCTCCCACTGCTCCCCTCAGCAGTGTATTTCAATGGACCTGCCTGTTCAGCTCCCCACTCTGTCTCTGATGAATCTTCTCACCCCCCACACCTCTGGCCTACACCCCAGCTCTTGCATGCATGCATACAAATAAATCTTAAGAAAAAAAATCACACCCAAAGACTCACCAGTTCTTGTTTCCATTTTTCAGCTTCCCCAGCAGATGCAAATTTGATAACATCTACACTGCCGTGGGAAAATGGTCTCTGAGCAGCTTCATTCACCATGGAATCTTCGCCCATTGTAATCCAGGAATTCTTCATAGTTCCCTAAAATGCGATGATAATTTCAAGTGATATTTAATGTGTAAACCAACCTACGTGCTGTACAAGTGGAATATCCATTTGTGATTCAAGGAATTAAAAAATATATATATCCCTAAACTATGAAAGAAAAATCATTTTCCATTTTCAGATATTAGGGTCATATTCCACAAATGTTACAAAGTCAAATTCCTACCGGTGCAGGCAATAATGTAAATGAACAAAGAGCTGGAGCAGTGAGCTCAGCCAGTGAATGCGTCTTTCTTTCTTCTCTGAAACACATGGGCTTCTCCTGGTCTGTCTTCCATTTTCCACATTGCATGTGGCATGACTAATAACAGTAACTGTTGACATACTGTGTTTACTATGTGTCAGTACCTGTTTTAGTGACTCAGGTACATGAACTCATTTAGTTATCACAACAACTCGCAGAGATAAGTTCACTGGGACTACCATTTCCTAGATGAGAAAAATGAGTGATAAGAGTAACTGGGTAATTTAGTAGTTTAACTACTACAACAACTTGCAGAGATAAGTTCACTGGGACTACCATTTCCTAGATGAGAAAAATGAGTGATGAGCGTGAGTGTTAATCACCAAGGCAGGGAGAATCTAATGCTAAGATCAACACTGGCTACCTGGTTCCAACAGAGTTTGTGCCCTGAGCCACCATGCTTTTCCGTTTCTCCAGAAAAAGTTACCTGCATTACAGGAAACAGTGCTTGGTGAGAGAAATGACATTCAGTTTGCATGTTAGGGCTTAAAACTGGAATGGCAGGGACCCTCCCTGATGGCGCAACGGGTTAAAGCACAGCACTATGAATCTAGCTGCAGCCACTGCAGCACGCGTTCGATCCCCCACCAGGGAGCTGACCCCAAGACGCAGCAGACCTCTCCTGTCTCCCTGCTGCTCCCCTGCGCTGTGCTTTTCGCCAATGTGCCTGTTCTGCCACTCTATCTCTGGTGAATCCTCTCACCGCCCCTGCACCTCTGGCCTGCACCCCAGTGCTACCTGAATATATGAGTAAAAATCTTTAATAAAACAAAAAATGACACCCTGTTGAATGGGAGAAAATAACAGCACGTCACATATCTGATAAGGGGCTGCTATAGCAGCGACAGAAAACTCATACAACGCAACAACAACAACAAAAAACTCAACCAAATATGGGCAGAAAAGCTAAGCACTTCTTCAAAGAAGACATACAGATGGCCAACAAGCATATGAGAAGATGCTCATTATCACTTAAAATCAGGTAAATGCAAATTTGACCACAATGAGATATCACCTCACAGGAGCCAGAATGGCCCACACCAGGAAAATGAGAAGGAAGTGTGATGATGAAAGGAAGAAAAATAATGTTGGTCAGAATATAGACTGGCCTAGCCCCTACAGAAAATGATAAGGAGATTTCTCCATAGATTAAAAATAGCTCTCATGGGCCCTCCCTGGTGGCGCAGCGGGTTAAAGCACAGCACTGAGAAGCTAAAGCCGCTTCCGCATGAGTTCGATCCCCGCCTGCCCCGGAGGTGACCAGACCTCTCCTGACCCGCCCGCTGCTCCCCTCAGCAGTGGACTTCGTTGATCTGCCTGTTCTGCTCACCACTCTGTCTCTGGTGACGCTTCTCACCGCCCCTGAGCCTCTGGCTGTACCCCAGTTCTGTATGCATAAATAAATAAATCTTTAAAAAAAAAATTTTTGATTGCCGCTATAAAATTGAATTTTTTAGTTATGAAAATTGAATTATGCAAAATTTAAATATGAAGAAAGAGAAAAGAGACTGAGCAAACTAAACCCTAGAAACCTGACTACAAATTAGAAAACCGATGGGCAGGCATGAGAGGGAGAACATTGTGAGGTGCCCCGTGGGTGGGGGGGCGGGGTGACTGGTACTCTGGTGGTCTCAATCTATACTGGTGGATTAAACTACATTGCAGGAGCTGAACGTCTACAATCCGAAAACATACAGCATTGTAGACCAACACTCACACTCACCAACGTTTAAAAACTAAAAAAAAAAAAAAGAAATAGAAATTCCATGATGCACTCATCTCACTTTGTGGTAATTCTTTGAAAAAATACAAAAACACTACATCAAAAAGATATATACGTGTCTATGTGTTTTTTTTTTCCATCATTATTTATAATAGCTTAAAATTGGAGGGAAACTATCAGTCCATTAACTGATAAATGGGTAGAGAAGATGTGGTATTGTAAATACAGAAGACCAGTCAGCTATAATATATGAAACTGATATGAATTCCTGTATTTTGCAACAACACGGGTGAGCCCATAGGATATAACACTTAGTGCAATAAACTACACAAATACCCTGTATCACTCATATGTGATATACAGACAATTGAACTAAATAAAACAAACAAAATGTTGACATATATTACCAATTAGTAGCTTTCAAAGAAGGAAGAAGGGTGGATAAATTGGAACAAAGGAGAAACTTGTATGGTGAAGACAGAATTAAACTTTTAGAGGTGAACTTAATATCTAAATGTTGGTTTTCAATGATCCATTCCTTAAACTTACACAATGTTGTTGTTACATGTTCAAGTTTCTAAAATCTTAGTAGTACAACAAATAAAACAGTGCCTGCCACATCTTCACCATGTAGTCCCAATAAGTATTAATACCCCATAATTTTCAAATTCTTTTCCAGAGAAGACACAAGGAAACAGTGAAAACAGTCAAATGTGCCAATAAGTTCAGCAAGATCTACCATCAGCTTCAAGGTAACAGAATCACTGAAAGGAGTTCAGGGAAAAAAAAGATAAAAACTCGTTATCTGTTTATTTTTAAGATATTCTAAAAAGTGTTATGTTGCAATGTTCAATACAAAGCCATTTAAGTCACTGAAATACCGCAGTTCACCAACACAATTAAAAAGAGGAGGAAACTAATATGTAATAAATAGTACAGAAATCTAACATTAATAGATATCAAGTTCATCTGACATATTTGCAACAACCACTTTAATATTTGCATTACATTTTGTTCAAGCAGATGTTTAGGGAAAAAACACAATAAACAAAACCTCTCCATTACTTTGTCCTTTTATATAATTATGACTGTAGCTTTTATTAGCAAATTTTCTCTGTTCCTATGACAGGCATGCATGCTTTTCGCAATATTTCCTTCCCCTTTTGTATTACACACTTCTCTTTCCCTCTAATTACTTGCCTGCCTAATTTCCTTTCTTATTTCATTTCCCCTTCTTCCACTGTTACCATTGTGTAAATAACTGAAGACTATGAATAATTGAGTTACTGTCTGTTAAGTGGATACATGTAGTTAACATAATCAGCTACTTCTAAACAAAGAATTTTCTAACAACAATATAGAACTCCAGGATTACTATGCAAAGATCAGGTCAGGTTAAGAAAATGAAAACAAAACTTCAAAACCAAAAACTGGAGCATAACTAGATAAAACATTTAAGATACTGATATGTTTTTCTTCGCTGGCTTACTAATGATGACTAATTCAAACCCAGATTTCATTAGAAAATTCAAACATTAAATCTTCCCCCATGGGAAGTTGAGTTCATCTCAAAAAGCAGAACAAGCCAAGCTCAACTGTGCTCTACAGTAAGAGAGATTCAAGCATTTTTAAGATAAATATTTCTGACAAATGATAAGGCCATATTATGTTTAATCAGTGGTTGGATATCATCACAAGAATTCTGGCTGCAGAATTATAGAATCACTCTCACAGCTTTTAAAATTTTCAAATGTATGCACATATATTTTATTTTTTTTAGCTAGTGATTTGAAAAGTATCCCAAGGGATTTTATTCACACTGAAGATTAATAGTTGTTATATAGGTAAGTCTTCTCAAATTGTCAGTCAGCAGAAGAACTCTGGAATGAAACCATGCTTGAAAGTTCTAGAAAGTTATTTGCTAACCTCCCAGCTTGCTCAAAACAGTGGGGAGGCTGGTATTTCAATGCTTGGACCTTTAAGTAGCCTTTTTCTGCTACATCAGGCTACTAGTTAGACTTACTGGAATTTAGAACCAAAAACAATTTAGAGGAATAAAACAAAAATATAAGCTGTGTTTCTGAGAGATTTGGGGTTTAAAAAAGTTCCTTCTGCATAACAGACTTATATAACGTGAATGTAGTAAATACCAGCATAGTAACTTGACTGAACTTCAAGGAGAAAATATAAATTTAGATGTCTGGGGAAGAGGGTAGGAGGGAGAGTTCGACTAAAATATCATTTATGATTTGGAAAAAGTGCTCACAGATGCATCCAGTCCTTTTTGTTCCAACTTCACTGCTTCCTCTTGTCTTTGAGACGTCAGTTCTTGTTGCAGCCTTTCATTTTCAAGCACAACTACTTGTACCCTATTTTTCATTCCAGAGAGTTCCTCCTACAAAAAGCAGAAACAAACACCATCTACGTTAAACATTTTTAAAGCAATGCTTTTAGTTGGTAATTCTTAGGTGATCCAACATGTTATAAAACAGAGAAGACATGTTCTCCATCCATTTTCTAGAAGCATTAATATTACATGTAGACAAAGTAACTCAAATGCCAGTTAACAAACAGAATGCTGAAGTGTAGGGCTACTGACGTTTTTCCCCTAGTAATTAAGACAAACTTTAATAAAAAGCTTATCTAAAAAAACTTTTTAGAATGAGGGTGACTGTTGGAAAATAAGGTAAGATACATTACATTCATGCTTGTTTAAAACATAGATGGAGAACTAAGTGTAGGGTCACGCAGAGATAGAAAGGCGTGGAAAGTTATACTAATTTTCTATGAACTGGTAGCCAGAGGTAGGGAAATCATGGGTGAAACAGTTTATGGAAAGTTTGAAAAGGTTATTGCTATCAGTTATGAAAGTTTCCCAAAACAGATCTATCGTACAATCCAGTGATCCTTCTCCTAGTTACCTACCCAAAGAATAAAGAAACCCTAATCCACAGGGGTATGTATACCCCTCCTGCTCGACTTAAAATAATCAAGATGTGGAAGCTCCCAATAACAGAGGAGATTTGTGATAAAGAAGAGGTGGTGTCTCTGTATATGTGCAGGAAGACACAGATATATACACTACAGAATGGCACTCAGCTATTAAAAAATATATGAAATCTTGCCATTTGCAATATTATGGGTGGAACTGGAAAGGAACTTTGCTGAACAAAATAAAGTCAGAAGAAGAAAGACAAACACCAAATTATTTCACTCATATGTGGGGTAGAAAAAGCAAAGACAAATAGCAGAAATGAGACTTCGAGATGAGGAGGAAAGGGGAGAGGGTCAGTTGAATGCGCTGTGGTTGAGTTCTTGGGACCCACCTTCTACCACAATAGAAATCCATGAGAAAAATTCTCAAGGGGACTAGGCCCAGACTGTGTGGAGGATGTTATGGCATCACTTCTAGGGCATTCCCAGATTCTCACAGAAAAGACTCCAGAAATTCACCCATGTTTCTCTTCAAAGCACGTTTTTGGAATATGCCCAAAGTATATCATTCTTCCTCACAACACCTGCCCCAAGGGAATCTATTCTATCAGAACACAACCAACTGGCATTCTCTTATAAACTTATTATAAGGAAGGGAAATGTTTTGATTATCACTCTCAGTGTAGTCTGACATAAGGGCTCACGACACCTCCACGTGCTTCATTTTTCTCAGGATTAGTTTGACCATTTGGAGTCTTTCATGGTTTCTATACAAATTTTATAATTTTCTAATATCCTTGAGTAATGTTACTGTGGTTTCACAGATATGGCAGTGCTGTAACTTGCTTTAGGCAGTACGGCCATTTTAACAATATTTATTCTTCTAACCCAGGAACCACTCAATTTCTCTGCATCCTCTTTTGTTTCTTCTGACAGTGTCTTATTGTTCTCAGTGTTTAGCCTCTTCACTTTCTTTTAAAGTTTACTTTAAAAAGTGAGGTATTGAATGAATTTTTAAAGTATTTCTTCCTTATGTTATTATAAATAAGATTACTTTCTTAGTTCCCTTTTCTCAAATGAAGAGTTTACATACAGACATAAGCGATTTTTGTATAGTGATTTTGAATTCTGCCAAATTACTATGTTCATATTACTTCTAGTTGTTCTTGTTTTGTTGTTATTAGACTAGTTGGGTTATATGTGTATATTATCATGTCATCTGCATAGAGTTATAGTTTTACTTCTTTCCTCAATCTGGGTTCCTTTCATACCTTGTGCTTGCTAACTGTTTCAGAAGGACTTTTAATCTATTATGGAGTGGAACAGGAGTGGTGAGAATTGATGTCTGTTTATATCCTGATCTTAGGAGAACCACTTTCATTGAAATTCAAATATACTTCTAATATGCTAAAATCCCAAACACTGACAACACCAAATGCTGACAAGGATGGGAAACTTTAGGGCTGCTCACTCATTGTTAGAGGGAAAGCAAAAAGATATAGCCACTTTGGAAGTCAGTTCGGCAATTTCTTCCAAAACTAAATATTTCTTTACATGTTATCCAGTAACTGTGATTCTTGTTATTTGCCCAATAAGTTAAATGAGTTTAAACTTACGTACACAAAAAACCTATATATGAATATTTATAGCAGCTTTATTTGTAACTGTCAAAATCTGGGAGCATTCAAGATTTCCTTCAATGGATGAATGAAAAACAAGCTATCCTATAACCATAAAATAGAATATTATTCAGTAATGAAAAGAAATGAATTCTCAAGCTATGGAAAAGCCATGGAGGACTCATAAATGTATATTATTAAAGGAACAAAGGTAATCTGCAAAGGATGCACACTGCACAATTCTCACTTCGTGACATCCTGGGAAGGCCAAAACTATGGAGACGATAAAAAGATCAGTGGTTATCCGCGGTTGGGGAATTGAGATGAAGGGATGAATAAACACCACAGAGTATCTAGGAAAGTGTTCTGATACTACAGTAATGGTGCCTACATTCCATTATGCATTTTCAAAACCTCTAAAACGTATAACAAAATGAGTGAATACTTATGTTAACTGGAATTTAGTAAATAATCACGTAACAATATTGGTTTAACAAAGATAATATACTAATGCGTGACATTAGTAACAGAAGAAACGAGTGAGGAGGAAGTAAAGTAACTACTGGGATCTCTACCTACTTTCCATTCTATTTCCGTAACCAAAAACTGATTTAGAAAGTAAAGTCTATTAACTAAATAAATTAATAAAATATTTGTAAGCTTTTTAAACATTATTATGTTAACTCCTTGTTACTAGATCTCAAATTTATACTGATTTCTAAAGCTGCAATCTTCCATTTTACTAGTTCAGCATTGTCATATTTATTCCATTCGAGAAATTTAGAATATATGACTCTTAATCTCCATAAATAAAATTCATGCTGAAATAGCACTTTCATTGTTTGCTCTTCTCCTTACAAAACTCTCATCTTCCTCTGCTGACCTGAATGACCTTATTCCGTTTAAGATTTTCCTCTCCCATGAAAATACTCCCGAAGACCTAGCTTTTTTCATAGCCAGCTTTTTCTTCTTCTTCTTCTTCTTTTTTTTAATAAATATACTTCATACCATGGAATATGAACTACACCGTATTCTCTAAGGAGCTACTGTGGTGGTGTTCAGAGGTAATATTACTATCTTCTAACTAGATGGTAAATTTATTATAATTTGAAATCATGGTGAGTTCCTTTATACTGACAATTTAGCAAATTTAGTCTCACAGCTTATAAGCATTAAGCAGAGATTCTGTACCACAGCATCTGTAAGTTGACAAATGTAGGGGAATATTCCACTAGCATTTACCAGCAGCTGAGCTAAGGTAAATGGGGTGGAAAAGAAAAATTCAAAATACAAGTACATCCTATCAAATTACTAGACATAGTTAAAAACTATTGGAAAATTAAGCAATCAAAAATGGCCAGGTTAGGAGAAGATCCTGTAACACATCAGTATTTGTAACCATATAAAAATAGCAAACATCAATGCATTGTTATAAACATGAAGACCAATAATACTATCAAATTTTCATACAAAGTATAATTAATACAAGCTTGACTATAGACAGGGGGAATTCTTCATGATAAACTTACTTTGCAGAAATTAACTTCTGCCTCTAAATGATGAATGTATTGAGACTGATCATGGATGATTGGAACAAGATTATGTATAGTAGGCATGTTGGCTTCGTTGTATTCTGATGACCTCTACAAAACAGAGGGGAAAACAAATTAAGTATTTGGATTTAGCAGAGATGGTTAACGCTGTCTCTATCATCAGTGTAGCACATATGTCAAAGGAAAAGAATGCTAGGTCACAATGTGGCTGACAGTATTTACTTCCCTATCCTATAATTTCCACAAATAGTTAAGATTCAGAGATCAGAATATCATTCAATAAAGATGGAAAGTGAAAGTAAGTGGCAAAAAAAGGCACGTGGCTAATGGACAAATATTGGTGTAGTTGAATTGGACTGGGATAAGCTGCCTGTTTGAGCCATCTGGAAATGTGACATCACTTAAATAATGCTGAGATCAAGGGACAATTCTCTTCCAGAAATCACTAGGACAAAGAATTGCTACCTAAAACTGCAGAAAGAGCACCCTAAAGACGAGTCTTTAGATAAGTATGTGTCAATTAACTATCGAAGTGCATTTTAAAGGCTGAGTCTTCAAGACCTACTTATTATTATTGGTTTGTATTACTGCAAGTAGAGTATATTTAATTTCTAATTTCTAGTCTTTCATATAACTCCATATGAAAAGACCTGTGTCTCTGTGAAGTATATCCTGTACCTACTGAGTTGATGATCTTGATGAAGGTCTTCCTGCATAACCTGATTCAATTGGCACCATAATATCATTGCTCAGTTTTTCCTTTAGAATGCTAACAAGCTACTCTGTGCATTCCACAGGTACAGCAACTCCAAATAACCGATCTAAACATACTCTGCCCTCTGTGTGCTTAAAAGCATTCTAGAAACTAGGTATCAACAGTAATAAATTAACCGAATGATGAAATGCTTCATTAAAACTGAAACTTACGCTAATAAATATTGAACAAGAGTATGAAGGGCATTTTTCCAATGTGGAAATTAAGTATGAAAGAATGTGTCAAAGTGAAGGAAGTGTGAAAATCCGAGTGCTGTCATGAATATTACACTCTGCTAAAGCAATAGCAATAAGAAAACAAGCAAGTTCAGAAGAAATAGAGTATATATTTTTTTCACATGAAGTTTAGCCATATATCTCAAGTGCAAAATAATTAAAGCTTCAATTAATTAGGATTCTTTTTGCCACAGAGGTCTCTTTTCTTTAGTTAAAATAATCAAAGGGAAGATAACACTATAAAGTTACAACATAGTTAGAAAAATAACATTTTTGCCAACTTGTAAAAAATTGATACTTACTGAAGGAGACACATTTTGTCTTCTTGATGGTGATACTTCACTTTCCTTAGCTGCTTGTTGGTGCAACAAAGCTCTGAGTTGATTAACTGTAGGGCAAAATCAATACGTTTACTAATCTCATTTGAGACCCTGAGTTTAATGGCAGCCATCCATCCTCCTAACAAGTATTTAAATATAACTTAGGCATCAAAAATTGTCCTGTTGACTGAGGCTATGAAGACAGACTGAGGAAACCTCTACCACTTAAGGACCCAATGAGCAAGCAAGATGCACTGAGAGGAGACGATAAAAGATGTTGATGTACAAGCCTAGAGCTACGTTAGTACTGCAAGAGGAAGCAGCCCCGGCACCTATTCTCATGGATGAGACGACACTGTGAAGGGTGACTAGAGACAAGCAGAAAAGGGTGAGAAGAGCTCTAGTTAGAAAACACAGCACAAGCTAAAGTCAGGAGGTTGGTATGACACGGCTTGCAAGCTGGATGGTTGGGAAGAGGACAGAAAAAAGGGGGAAGAGGTAGCTTGGAGTCATTTTAAGAAAATATTGCCATGACAGACTAATGAGTTTGGACTGTAGCCTGGAAGCACTGGGAGGCAAATAAAACTTTTTAAAAAGCAAAGGAATTATGTCAGCTGATTTGTGTCTTTGGGGAAAATCCTAGTGGTAGAGTAGGCAAAAGAATGGAGATATTAACGCGTGGCGTCTAAAGGAGTGACTGCGTGTCCCCAGGTTGGGGTTGGCATCCACACGCACCAGCGTGGCTGTGCTGCAGCTCATGCCAGGCAGCCCTGGTGTCCTCGTCTCCTACAGTGGTGCCGAAAGAAGGCTCCAGAGCAGATTCCCCAAAAGTGCCGTCACTGTCTCTCAGGGCACACTTCAGTTGATGAATGCTTCTGTTCGCACGGTCTGCAACAAAGCAAAGTCAGGGCCAATGAAAGCTGGGCAGCTAGCATGTACAATTATGTAAGAAGTTAAAAAGGAGCAGCAATTATTTCTTTTAAAGATTTATTTATTTATGCATACAAGAACTGGGGTACAGGCTGGAGGTGCAGGGGTGAGAGGACTCACCAGAGACAGAGTAGGGACAGGCAGACTGACTGAAACACACTGCTGAGGGGAGCAGCGGTGGATCAGGAGAGGCCTGCCGCGCCCTGGGGGTCACCCCCTGGCTGGAACCCAACTGGTGCCGCAGCGGCTGTGGCCAGCTTCATAGCGCTGTGCTTTCACCCTCTGCACCACCGGGAAGGGCTCAGAAGCAATTACTCCTGGTACTTTATGGATAGGAGCATCTGTTCTGTTTCTAGCTTCTGCGACATGCATGAGAGGAAGTAAGAGAGAATGTACGTGGGCTAGAAATCAGAGCTGACCTCTAACCCCAGAGGCTGACTGTCACCAGGCCCAACACCACCAGCAAGGAGGAGTGAAGAGCAGACTCCACCCTCCACCATCTCTCAAGCCCAAGAAGAGCCCCAGTGGAAGCATCCTCCTGCCCCTTCACGTCAAGACCCCTTGGTACGCTGGACACTGGGGAGGGTGGACAGAACGGGAGAGGCCTCCACCACCAAACTCTCCGCCCAGGGGAGCCTCCTGGTGACTGTGGGGCAATGTGATGCTCACATTCAACTGTCTGGCTTAGTTTTGATAGAGATTTAAAGATCTGAAGTTCTTGTGTGGCAACTGCTACAGCACAGTCCTTTTTATGTACTGTGGGCTGACCACGCCTCGCACAGAAATTCTTAGCAGTCTGACATCTACGACTGAAGCTTATGCTTACCAGCATATACTTAACACGAACTGTCTAAAATGGTATTTTAAGGTGTATTACTAAATTAGTTTAGTTCTCAAAATAGTCCGCAAGCAACTCAACTTCCTGCCCTGGATCCTGTAGAGTAAACGGAAGCGATCAGGACTTCTCCACCCTCCCACCACCAGCACCAAAGCTCCGCACCTGCGGCCTGAGACGCCCGCCGACGCGCACCTGGCGTGTGCGGTGCGCATGCGTGAGTGGGCGCACCTGCCGAGGGCGCCCGTAAGGCCGCAGAAGCGCGCAGCGGCGGACGAGGGTGCAGCGGAGACCGGAGTAGGGCCAGGAGGGAAACCCGAGGGCTGAGGCCTGCCAGCCTCCCAGTCACCCCCCACCCTCTGCACCCCGCATCTAGTGGACTCTTGACAAAGGGCATCGAAAGCGCATTGAAAGCCTGAAAAGCGGCCGAGGACTCCAGGCCCCTCCTCTGCCTTCTGCCCGGCTGGCAGCTACTCAGCGCGGTCTGCGGAGTGACTGGGGCAGACGGATGAGCCCTCGAAGGCCGAGGCGGGACTGGGGTGGCAGGCGGGAGCGTGACAGGCCGTGGGCCCCGCGGCCACTCAGGGCGTGGCCAAGGCCCGGCAGCGTCGGGAGAGCTAGGCTAGAGCCGCCGCGGGGGCACAGGAGGTGGACAGGCCCGGGAGGGCTCCACACGCCCCGGGTGCGGACGCCCCAGAACCAGCCTGCGACCCCCGGCAGCGGACTCGGGCAGGAGGCCACGGCCCGTGCTGGGCTCGCCCAGGGCCAGCAAGGTCAAGCCCGGACTGACGGCTGCGCCGGAGGCGGAGGTCGCGTCTGTGGGCCCCGCCGGTGGGATTAGGAAACCCCAGGCGAGGAGAACCAAGGCCAGCGGCCCTCGGTGAAGCCTGCGTGGGGCGCTCTGCGGCCGGGCAGAGGCCATGGAAGGAGCCAGCTCCACGCGGCCGGGGCTGGCCCGAGTGCAGGGGCTGCCGCCACCCTGCGGGCTGAGGCCCAGTGCTGCGGTGACGACAGCGAGCACCCCTGCGGGCGCCGTTACCCCCACCCCAGAGTGTCGGGCTGCAGCAGCTCAGCGTGAGCCCCTCCTGGGGTGGCTGTGCCCTGTGGTTGCGGCTGAGGCCAGCGCAGCAGGAGGCCAGAAGCCTGGGGCCCTGGTGTGACGGCAGAGGCCTGCGTAAGGTAACACCCCCCCACTCCCGGGCAGTGCCCTCGGCGGGCTCGGTGGATCATCTGCTGGCGCCAATGAGCTTGTCTTTTTGCCCCCAGGTTGGTGCCCAGCCAGAGGGTTTGACTAACATTAAAAGTGTGTTCTATAGAGTTGTCAAATGACTTCACCGCTAAGAAAAAGGATAATAATTTATTTATACCCAACCAGACTAGACGCTAGTAAGCTCTAAGAAAACGAATGGGGAATCTAACAGTGTGTAGCTAAAAATCCCTCTGGGTATGGCTGATTGTGACCCTATGTAATAATACTTCTTCTAACATGATTGTTTAATCTTTTAGAATTTATAAGAGTCAAGACTGTGCTAAACTGTACTCTCCAAATTGTTTTGAGATACTAAAGTCAACAACTACCCGAAAGAAAAATAACCTACAAGATGGGATTTTTTCACAACCAGAAACTTCACTTACTAGGAACAAAATGGAAGAAAAGGCATTTGCAAGGTAAGTGATGTGAAACTAACAAGGTAAATGATGTTTCTAAGTATTTCCATGCTACATTTCAAAACATGCTGAGTCTTTTCAAATATATACACAGCAGCATAATTACACACCGTAACAGACAGTTAATTCTGAGAAATAGTAATACAAGATCCAAAAGGAATGAAATCCCATCACTTCAACCGGAGTCCCTGCAACGGAGAGGCCCTAAGGACACCATTCCAGGACGCAGTTGCAAGCTGCTTCTACAGCAGAAAATGGATTCGATGGGAGGACCCAGGCGTCTCCTATCCCACTGCTAATTCGCAGTTTCATCTGCCTCTAAGGAACTTATTTCCCCTTCTCTCTTGAGACAGCAGGGGCATTTCACAAAGAATCTTGATTTCTTTTTATCAACAGTCTCAGGCTGAATAAGAAGTTATGAATACAAATGCAACAGAACTTTGAGTTTTACAGAATCACAAAATTGTTGACGATTGTTTCTAGTAGTCCACTATTTAAACACCAGCCGATACATGGAACACTGGAAAGATCATGGAGCTGCTTGCTGCCTGCTGACAAAATTAGGTGCTTCATCCAGTTTCCCTATCTTCTCCCTCCTAGCTCACCACTGGGCTTCTCTTCATTAAAATGTTTTTTGAACAAAAGGCAAATCACCCCCATTCTAGGAAGGATCATCACTAATATATGTACTCTGAATTATTAATTTCTCCATTCTCCATCTGCAGTGGGAGATGTGAATGCGAATTACCCTGGTGATGGGCAGGGGTAGCCCCATCTTGTGCAGTGCCCAGCTGTCTGAGAAAACACCGTGAACGGTAACCCCGAGGCTGAGACACAAGGCGCCCCGCAGTTCTCAAAACAGGACGCATATGGCAGACAATGAGAGAAATGAAACCACAGTGAGATAAGAGGTACCTGTGTCTGTCCACACAGAAGACTGCTGTCACCCTTCACTAGGGACTGACAGGAGTAAGACCCATACAAGAAAATCATAATTCAGAATCAGACAAAACAAACTTTAAATGGCAATGACAACAGTGAAGAGATTGAGAGTTGTATGCAGGAACCACAAAATGGCAAAGAAACTACTATCGTAAGACTCTAGTAGCCTAAAACAGCGTTCAAGTGGCTGGCCCCAGCAGCGAATGTTGATCTCAACAAGAACGAAGACATCTTAAAGTGTCCTGAAGATAATTAATGCTGATGGATGCTGACAAACCTAGGAGACTGGCACTGTGCACCATGAGAAACACCTGACTTTTTTTCCTGCACCAAGTGAAAGCACTTATGCACCTGTCCTCACTGATCAAGCAGTAACCCCAGCTAGACTGGCAGAAAGTAGGTTAAATCGCCAAACCACAGTCTGCATCCTTGATGAAATGACTCAAGTATGACTCTGCTGTCTTGTCACTTCGAGGTCAGGGCTTCCCGACCCCAGCACTCCTGGAATTTGGACTGAACAGTTCTTTGTGCTGAGGGCTACGTCATGCATGTGAAGCAACATCCTTGTCTCTACTTAGCAGACGCTTCCACTTACACCCCCACAGTCACGGCTGCGTGGCAAGGGGACAAGTGTATTTCACGTTACTTTCTTTACGTTCTGACCCCGAAAGGAACAGCACTAAGTGCAAATGTGAAATTCTTAACCTCAAGCTGATATGGTAAGTGCACATATCTTTTAAACATCCCAAGACAGGACAGAATTATTCTCAATAACTTAAGAGCAGCTAAATCTCTTTTTTTGGTCCAAGAATACGTACAGCTACCCTTCTAATTTCATAATAATAAACCATTCCTTTGGTTTCTATACTACTCCAAGAAGACTCTCTTCTGTAATCACTCTTTTTTGGCCACCCAGTACTGTTTTTTGCCGTTTTTTTTCTTCATTAGTATAAGGAAAAAAAAGTTGGAATTCTCATAACTTTGCTTTTATGGTAAAACAAATGGTCATAAAAACTCAAACTATTAAGAAAAGTCATTAGTAAATAAAACAAAATATATGTAATTTAAAATTTTTGCAGCAAAAATCTCAATTCAAATGTTTGTAAATTTTATTTTCCATTACCAGTATTCAATTATTCATAGCCAAATCACTCCATTTCTTTGATTTTAGGAATGAGAGCTATAAAACTGCACTGAAATATTAAAATAATTTTCTCATTTCATAAGAAATGTTTTCCAGAGACTTTATTGCATTACCTGTCTTGGTCTCAATGAGTTTGAAAATAACACAAAAATGCATAAACCTTGGCTGTGGAGAACGTATGTGTATACACATACTGTGTGTGTATATATATATAAATGCATATATACACATATGGTGTATCACAGAGTATATAAAAATACTCAGACATATTTGAGACTGGCAAAGGCAAGAGGAAATACAGGTTCGAGTGAAATGGAGAAAAAGTAAAACTTTTACTTAAGTATTCATTTTTAAGTTGGACAGATGTTCAACTGCTGTCACCGCTGGCCAACTCAGCAGCCTGATGGTCACTGCGTGCGATTAACACAGGCCTCCCACAGACGTGCACTTCCTGGCATGTACCAGAACAACCCGCAGGGGACCCCTCTCACCCGCCTCCACTGAGGGGCACAAGTCAGAGAGGAGAGGCACAGCCGGTCTGGCCACATGAAGAAGCTGGGCCAAGGACAAAGAGGTGAACCCCACAAATCAGGGACTTCAAAGACGCCACTGCTAAAACGCCCAGTCTTCCGAAGAGAAGGCTCTAACAACCCTCTTTTTCCCCCCTCAACCCAAAGACTGTCAAATATGAACATGAACCAGACATCCAGCTATCTTTGCAGACTACATACAATTCTCATTGTGAGGCTCAGAATTCAGACAGCCTTCCCAAAGCTTTCTGGAGGCGGTTCCTGGGCTTGAATCCCCAATCTTAATGCTTTAATAAACTCGCTTAACTTTTGCTCAATTGAAGCCAACACAAATTTCTAAGTTCTCTCCAGTTGTGTACACAGAGAATATCAACATTAGCTTTACTTTTCTCAAACTAGATGAATTTACAAAAAAAAAAATTACTCTCAAATTGTGCATTTTCCTTCAAAATTGAACCTCTCATGTGAGCCTGGCTGTAATCCTCACTTTCATTTTTATAAGTTAGAAACAACTTTTATCAATTGCATTGTCAGTCCAGTGTTTATAAAAGGGACATTAGTGACTAGGGGTCCCCCTGGAGGGGGAATCAGGCTCTCCAGGGGGGAAATTTGCTTGGTCAATCCAGTGTGCAGGAGACAAGAAAAAATAGAAGGAAGAGGGAGGGAGCAAGAAAAGAAACTGCAATGTTTTTAGAAAAAAACATAAACTCCTATATTAACATCATCCCCTAGTGTCGTCTACTGACTATATCACACACTTTTATATTTGCTGGGCAACGATCCTACTCTAGTCCAGACTGTTCATTTTACAGATGAGGAAACAAGAATTCAAGCACAATCACCATTAGGTAGCACAGGAGAGCTGATCAACACAGAAACAGCAAGGTTTGGTGGCTTGAATACGAGCTGCATAGTCTCCACTCCATCATGCTTTCTCACAAAACCAGTCTTGAACATTTCAACCTAAATGTTGAAAGGGGGATGCCAGCATCTAAGACGTATAATGAAAACCAATGGTATACTCCTGTCACAATGGAAGGAAGACTGTTTCATTTTCTTTATGCCCATCTACACAAAGGTGGCCAGGAACAGGTGAATAGGTGAGTCAGGTTCGTAGGTAGTGTCGGTAAACTATTTCCAGTCAACACTGCAACAAGACACTTGTCTCTTGATGATTCTGATCGTGAAGGTCAGTCACTGCATGTCTAGCAGTTCTCTCCTTTCTAATATCATAAACCCATATTTAAGTGCTTAAAACATTTAAGTCTCAATTACTTGTTATTCTTGTTTTTCTGACCCTTTCTTGGTTACAAACTACTTTCTTTTGTAACACGTGATTTTGTATAATGATCTGTTGAATATGAACTAGAGGGTCAATTGCTGTTTTTGTCTTTCCAGTACCCAACAAAGTTCTCAGCCATTCTTAGTCTTCAATTATAGTTGCTTACAGTGTGAAGCAAACAGCTAACCATGCTGCTATACCTACCACGTGGCTTCCAGTTCTAGACTAAACTCTCTGGTTCCAGATATCTAATTGGGCTAGGCCTGATCTTTATCCCACTGGAAAATTACACATCATCTTCTATGGAAGAACTTTAGAAAACTCTGACAATGGACTTGTCATCAACTTCTGTTCTTCTGCCAGACTCTTACTTTGAAGAGCAGTCACTAAACCTCTCCAATTTCTTGTGGAGGCACAGAAAAGGCAGTAGACACCCTTGGAGGAGATAAACCACAGCTGTTCTAGGTTCCTCAGAGTCAAGGAGAAGAAAAAAGTCACTCAAGTATTAAAAGTAAGAAAATGAATATTTACTCTGCTTTAGACAACAGAACTTCAAATTCTTGATAAACCATAACTACAAAATTATATTTAAAGAAAAATTAGGGATTGTCGTGAAAACTTATGAAAGTGTTTACATTCTCACTTGGTTACTCCTGACTAAGTACAAATGAAGGTCTATAAAGTTTTTAAAACCAGAGAAATAATTGTGGGGAAAGATCAAAAATGCTTTGTAGCCTTTTTTTAAGCATGTAGTAGAGAAGACATTTTGGGGAAGTAATGGTGAATAGACAAAACCAAACCAAGCAGGACAAAAGAACTTTAAATTGCATTTTATCTGATTGCACATTATAGAATCCTCCAGTTATCAGGGTCTCAGGAACAAACACTTAAAATAATGAAGTTCCACTTACAATACAATCATACTTAGTTTATTCAAAAACACAATCTGACTTTAAGGGAGTTATCGTTTTTAAAAGTGGTAATTTATATGTAGGAACCAAAGAATCCCTGATTGTACTTCATTTCAGGGTTAGTTTTGTTTCCTGACACAATCTATTTATTAAATGAACACATAAAAAAATCAAAATGGGCCCTCTCTGGTGGCACAGAGGGTTAAAGCACTGCACTAAGAAGCTAAAGCCACTTCAGCATGAGTTCAATCCCCATCTGCTCCAGAGGTGACCACATGGCGTGGCAGACCTCTCCTGACCCGCCAACTGCTCCCCTCAGCAGTGGACTTCATGGATCTGCCTGTTCTGTTCCCCACTCTGTCTCTGGTGAACCCTCTCACCGCCCCTGAGCCTCTGGCCTGTACCCCAGTTCTGTGTGCATAAATAAATAAATCTTTAAAAAAAAATAGTGCTAGTAAATCTGAAAACCCATGAAAAACTGTTTCTAGAGTCACTGTTAAAATTATCACTAAGAATGTTTTTTTTGAAAAGCTCTTTTTTCGGTTTGCTCATGATTGTGTTTTCACTACTTTTATCACACTAAATTTAAATCTATTTTAAAAATGTACTATCTTTAAAAGAAAATTTCACTCTATAATTACTGAGAGCATTATCGCAGTATTAAATCACTACCATGAGTTTAAAATGAACTTTACTGCATCAAAAAGCCCAGTATTAAATAGCCTCTAATGCTTACATAAAAGTTGAAAATAAGGTCAGAAGAGGGAAAACATTAGAAGAAACTGGTAATGGAAAATAAAAATGTTCACCAAGCTCAAAAATTAATTACCACTCATCCTGCACGGTAGTTTACTGCTTTCAAAATGAAAAGTTAGTAGTGGTTACTTCTATATTCAACAGCTCTGAAACATCAGTAGGCTGAAGGTGTTCAATTATTTTGCTCTTGCAGTTTAAATATTGAGGATGTTGATGATTTAGCACTATTGACAAATGAAAGTAAGTGATCTCTACAAAATGTAGTCATTAAAAGATAACTTTCCAAAAAGTAATTTTCTAAAGTTGAACATCTTTACTTTGTAGCAAGCACCAATTAGAAATAGCAGTTAACATGCAATGAGTGCTTCTGTACCCTTATTTTCTATTTAGTGATTGCTAGTTGTTTACTGCCTTTCTCTCTCCAGAGATTCCATGGAGATGAACTTTGCATCATTTCTGATTGTACCTCCAGCATCAAGTATGTTTAACCCGTGGTAGGCATTGAATGAATAAATGAGCCACAATTCTAAATGTTTCAAATAATTTTTTAAACTGTTGGTTATGATGGAAAGGGTTAAGAAAATGCAACATTATGAAAAACAGTTTATTACATCTAGAACAAAAATTGTTTTAATAAAACATTAGTTTGTATACATATGCCCTATAAAATGTGTATCTTACATCTAGTGGTTAAAAAAAAAAAGCGACTGCTTTAAGTGAATTATTTCATTTTTTTCTTACAATTACCTTTTAGACAATACCATGAACATACCCCTTAAAATCACACAACTCAGGTTCCGGGTGTTACTCACGATGTTGACAGAGCTCTTTACAAATACCAACATCACTTCTACAGATAATCACAGGATACTGTGCTAAGATAATCTGAATTAACTAAATATGGTTTCAGTAATAGTGCTGGGACATGATCAACAAAAATGAACCTGTCCATCTGGTTAAACAAAATCAGTATTATCATTCTGCACTGCAGAATGGTGTAGTTTTCCTGTTTTCAATTCCGTGTCTAAGAGCTCTGAAAGCTCTGAAACATCAGTAGGCCGAGGACGGCATCTAGCCTGACCCCACGCTGGACTGGGTGTATGGGCGTGTCCTGTAACCGCACCCCTGTGTGCCTCGACTTCCCCAGAAAAGCTTGTTTTGAGTGATTTAATGTAGCTGAAGCGCCTCGATCACTACACAGAAGCCGCTGTCATGGCAATAACCATTCGTGTGCTTTTCCCCCCTGGGTCCAGCAAATGCAATTCCCTGTGTGACAGTGTGGATGAGGAACGCAGAGGACCAAGAGCCAAAGCGCGCTACACGGGCAGACGCACGGAGCCGGCCAGGGGCTCCTGCAGCCTTGGGGTGAAAGATGCCCACGTCGAAAGCGGGGAGCAATCGACGCCCAGCAACGGCAAAAACAAATACAAACTATTTCGTATTCTTCAACGAGCACAGCAACATCCGTCTTCTTGCTCCTCCTGGCGGGGACCAAACCCAGGTGTTAGGAAACGCACTTGGGGGGCCGCTGCCCCGTCCGAGGGGGCCCCGTCCGAGGGGGGCAGGAGGCGCCGCGCAACTCACCCCGGAGACTCCGCTGATACTGCCCCAGAATCTCCTCCAGGGTAGAGTTCTCCGGGGACTTCGCCATGCACGCATTCGGGACCAGAGCGGGGAGCTGCGCGGGGGGAATGTCCAGGGCGCTCGGCCAGAGAACCTGAGGCCGCGGGCCGCGTCGCGGCCGCCGCTTCCAGCCGCCGCGGTGGCCAGGAGCGTTGAACCCCGGCGCGAGCTCTCCGGGGCTCTGCCCACCCGCGGGCCCTCCAGGTGGACGTTGGGAGTTGTAGTCCGCAGGCGCCGGGCCTGCCGCGTCGCGGGCCTCAAGAGCGTTTCCGACCACACTACAAGTCCCAGAGGGCACCGCGCTGCAGGCGCAGGCCGGCGCCGCGGCGGCCAGCCGCCGGCTTGGAGGCCCCGCCCCCGCGCCCGCGCCGTAGCCCTCTTCATTCATCCCGTCCTGCTGCTCGGACGACGCAGCTGACAGAAAAGGCTCCCTTGACACTTGCTCCCGGGCAGTGGAGCCTTGAGCCTCTCAAGGACGCAGGTCGCAAGCCCTGGGCCCGTCAGCCGCGGTATTTGCCAAGCGGGCCGACTAACACAGCGAGAAAGGCGCGCCCCCCGCCCAGGCAGCGCAGACGCGACGGCGATGACTGCTAGTCCTCGCAGGCCCAGCAGCCCGAGCGCCGCTCCGAGCGGGCGCGATGCCCGCTGGGAACTGTAGTCCGCGCCGGCTGCGGCCCCCCCCCTCGGCAGGGTCCTCCTCATTGTTCCCGCGCGGCTCGGCGCACGCCTGCGCAGTGAGCAGCTCGGGCTGGAGACCCTCGCACCACCCGTTTTCATTGTCTCTGCTCGGCGCCTGCGCACTGGGAGTCGCTGGGCCTGGACGCGGCCGGGGAGAGGGCCGGCTCCTCGCCCCTCTCCCGAGCGCCTGCGCACTGGCGCCGCGCCGTGCCGTTACCGCTATGTCTAGGGCGTGTGTGGAATAACGTTACCGCCCGGCGGAGCTGAGGCCCGGGAGCGCGGCCACCGGCGCGGCGGC